TAAACCCTTAATGTCCTAAAAGGTGATCTCCTATTTAATCTCCTATTAAATTTGGGCTTTATTGCGGTTCTACAGGCTGTATGTCTAGTTGTTATGACAATATGTAAAGTGATTTAGTCCAGATATTCTACATAGTGTTATTCACGAAAATAATGAATGAACTAAACCATGAGTGATGAATAATATGGACACATTGTTAACGGTTTCATTGCTGAATTTTGCATTGAAAATTTAAGGAAAGCCATCCTTCATGTGTAGTATGACTGGATGCGTGCTTGTGGTTATGGGCTGTGCATGGTGTGTTAAGCAGAAAGTTGAAGGATTTGAAGAAAGCGAGAACAAGACCCTTTGGTGAATGTTGTGAAACTCTGAAGTTCTCTTCATGTTTAACTCTTCCTCCTGGGAACTATCCCTACCTCTTCTCCTCTTCAAAGACCAAATCGCTACTCTATTTTTAGAAGAAAGGTTTTTTCCCTATTTTCGTTCCTCTTCTCCAACTCCCACTCTCTTGATACCCACAGGCCACAGTTAAACTCGTTGCTGACTTTCTCTCTTAACTTTACAAAGAAACGACTTCTATGTATTTCAAGGCACCAAAGAATGTGTACATCAAAAGTTGCCTGATGCCACAAGGAGTGCTCTGTATTCTACCTGAACATTCAGATCCAAGAGTAACAGTGCATCTGTGTTCATCAAAGGCTGCTGTTTTCACCACATCGTTTTGTTGCACATCTTAACTTATGTCACATAATGTATTCTCTGCGGAAGGGTTCCTTTTTGAACAGTTCTTTCAGATTGCTCTAGACAACATTTATTTGGGTGACTGTAGAGTTAGTAATTATCTTAGAGCTTGTGGGACTGTAATAAGAAGTGCTACCAAAGTGTTATGTTATTAACTGAGTAAGTGTGTGGTATAAACTGATCAGCCATTACATTAAAACCCAACTGGCTAATATTGTCTAGGTCCACCTTGTGCCAACAAAACAGTTCTGACCCATTGAGGCATAAACTCCACAAGACCTCTGAAGGTGTGCTGTGGTATCTGACACCAAAACGTCCACAGCAGATCCTTTGAAGCTTGTAAGTTGAGAAGTGGGGCCTCCACGGCGGGGGTTTTTGTTGGCCCCCCCCCCCCCACAGGCGGGCCAGGGGGGGGGGGGGGGCCCCCCCCCCCTTCCCCCTTTCTCTTTCCCCCACACTTCGCAATGTTGGCTCTATGGCGAGACTTGTTTACCAGCAAACACCCAAATTTAATTTTTTTTTTTTTTTTTTTTTTATTTTTTTTTTTTTTTTTTTACTGAAAAAAAAAAAAAAAAAAAAAAAAAAAAAAAAAAAAAAAAAAAAATATTAGGGAATACTGTTGCCACGAAGGAGTGTACTTGGTCCGCAACAATGTTTAGGTGGGATGTGTCAAAGCAACATCTATATAAATGCCAGGAGCAATATTTCCCAGCAGAACATTGCCCAGAGCACCACATTGCCTCTGCTGGCTTGCAGGAGTGTCCAATCGTGTACAGAAATGGCCGGTGTGGGTGCAGGTTTTTATTCCAACCAAGCAGAAGACACACCTGAGTCTATTGCAAGCCAAGATCAACTGATTAAACAGGTGGAATCAGGTGTGGCTCCTGCTTGGTTGGAATGAAATCCTGCACACACACCGGCCATTTCTATACAAGATTGGCCACTCCTGGCCCTTTGCCGATATGATTGGACACCCCTGTCATAGTGCATCCTGATGAGATCTCATCCCCAGGTATGCAATGCACAGGTAAAAGTGTGGTACATAGAGGAAGGTGGGAAGAAGGAACATACATTTCATTCCACTGGAATACTAAAATGTTTTATTTGTTTTAATCCTTGTACAAGTAGTCCTTGTACTCTTCATAAAGTGTAATGACATGCCTCCATATTATTATTCACTGAACTCGCTCAGTAATGTTTTATGTTTTCATTAGTTATATTATAACTAATAATATACTGAGCTACACACATAGCTGCTCTGTTTTTCAAACACAATCAGGGGTGCACGTCACGTGATGATGCAGATATTGTCAAAATGTGTAAAGTCTATATTACCAATAAGGTGGCAGATGAGCGTAATACTATAAATCTATATATAATACCAAATACTTTCAAATGAAATCAAGTTCTTTGAAGTTTGTGCCACACACTAACTAAGATACTATATTGTTGAAGAAAGAGACTGGCCCAATTCTGTATATGAATGTAAACATTTTTGTCAGTTTATGTTATAGATTATTCAATCAGCGTCTCAACATCCTATTTATATAAAACATCTGTTGTTTGTTGCCATCTATTCTGTAATAGCAATGAATTATACCCTCTCCATACAAATATAAATGAGATATGACAAATGCATTGAGACATAGTTTCAGAGAGAGGGGAGAGAATGTTGGATCAAAGATTGAGAGAAAAGTGTGAAAGGAAAGAAAGAGGGAGGGAGAAAGGCCCAAGGAAAAGGTCAGCTAGCTGTATGTCATGCAGTGAGGTAGATGCATGAACACTGGGATTTACTGAAATTAATCTGTCGTATGGTGACAGTGGTGCTTCTAAAAGGTCACCCACAGCAACAAGATGTGGGGGCTGACCGATGAAATGTATCGAATCTGACCACTGGCTGGCCAGGCCTCTGGTAGTTAGAGCATCCTAAAGGTCATTTCTACTCTGCTTTTCTCCTCGACTGACCGCTCTGCAGGTGTTTGAGAAATGCCTACTCTTTACCCCCTGACAGATTTAGACAGTGTTTTTGTCAAGCCCTAGTTATAAAGAGAGAGCTTTGGCAATTTTGTCAAGCCTGATAATTTGAACAGAGCAGCAGGTGAAGTAGACTGCTATTAACATCATGATGGTTGGTACATCCTGAGTTTTTCATTTTGTTTCCTTTTTGAAAAGACTGGATCAAAGGGCTTTCAGCGAGGTGCTGACATGTTGGCAGGCCACTCTATAAAGCAATATAATCTCAGCCATAAACTTCTGTAGAATTTAGGGACATTTATTTGTAGTGGGTAATAATTCTTACAAATGAAAAGGCAGTTGCAGCATGGCTTTTTTTTTTTTTTTTGGTCTAAGAGTATTTTACCTTATTTGAGTAGCAGGAAAGAGAAACTCAGCTTAATCGGGTGATATTTTTTGTCATATGTTAATCTGTGATTTATCGATAATCAAACCATTCAAGCGATTAAATAACACACAACCATAATGCTTGTTGATTTCACAGTATCCAACATATCCTACAGTCCTTTCTGTAAAATATGTCATATGTAATAATGAAGTTTTCAGGTTAAAAGTTTATGAGTGTTTCAAATCATGGGCGTAGGTTTGGTTTGAACATCGGGGGGTGGGGGGTTTGAAGTGTGAATGTGTATGCTTTCCAATAGTTTTAATTATTTAAAAAAAAACCATTTATTTAAAAATGATTTAAAAATTAAAAAATAAATAAATTGGGACAAAAAATCAGCTTTGTTATAACTGCAGTGTCATTACATAATTATCCTCTGCTTATTGATCTTTTTATCTATCCTCCATCCATCCATCCATCCATCTATCTGTCAAATCTTTCTATGTAACATCTACAGGAATTCATGATCAAATGATTGTTTCATTAAAACAAATTGTGCAGAGCATAATAACAGTTGAATGAATGCACAGTGTGATTCAAATTCACATCATTTAGGATCAACAACCTTGTTGTTGATAATACTTTGAACGATTAAAATAAAATTTAGCTAACATAACACAAGTCAGTTTTTCTCTATCTTGTTATATTGATATGTGTATGCTATGTGTAAATTGCAATGAATTAGCTAGCTAGCTGCAACATATGTGGAGTGTCCCTGATGGCCACAAATTATATTCAATATCCCGGAAATCGATTTATTTTTTTTTGCGAGCAAGCGAGGGACCACTAGGAGCAGAGAGCAAGTGACAAGTGAGAGAGTGTAACAGAGAGTCTATCCTGATTGGTCTCTCTTTCTGCTAGCTAGACCTATCAGTTTTCTCTCTGGGTGGGCTCTAAAGTTGACCTCGCTCTCTCTCTCTCTTCAGTTCATCAATCAGTTCAGTGTACCGCTAGAGTTCAGAGTCACTGTAGTGTTAAGCAGTGTCATCGCAGAGTGTACAAAAAAAAATAAAAATACAAAACGCACTTCACCCCAGACTATACTAAAGTGTACCCCTGCTTCATAGGGGTCAAAATAACAACTTTTTGCATAGGGGTCAAAATAACAAAGTTTTGCAACTTTTCAACAACGAATATTCATTTGCCCATGAATGTAAAATACACGTTGAGTTGAGCATGCGTCATGTGTTCATTAGGATAGATAATGTTATTTAAAGTAGCTGACTAACTGCTATGAAGCTACTCCATTGATGAGGCCAAAGTCCCTGTAGACTTGCAATAGAATAAAAACACAACTAAATGAGTTATATATTATATCATAGTACATATTAAGTACATATTTTAATGTCATATTTATCATTTAGCTTTTAGCATTGAGACTGCCAACAAAATACATTAAAAAGAGTGTGTGTGTGTGTGTGTGTGTGTGTGTGTGTGTGTGCGTGTATGGGTGAGATGGGGTTGCAGGGGTGATGGAGCTACCTCCTTCAAGTGAGTTTTTGCAAGGTGGGATGTCAGCACAAAATTAAGATAACAAGAAATTAATGAAGCTCTGCCTGCAACACTTGAGATGCATGCACAGAAAGCTGCCTCATCGTGCGAGTACCGAATTGAGTTCTCTTTAGCGGCTTATTGCGCTTGGAAGGTCAAATACACACACATCATGTCAAAATGCAGGTCTGGCCAAGTATTCACACAAACAATGTTGGTTATATCTTTAGTGAATGTAAACAGTTGTAAATGTAAATCATAGGTGTGTCAACACAGTATATTAGGATCTGTGCATTAGGTCTTAAAGTGACAGCATTCTAATAAACCTGCTGCTGTCAGTGTTATTAAAGTGAATGGGGCAGCTGTGGCTCAGGTGGTAGGGCAGTGGTAGAGCAGGTTGTCTGCTAATCATAAGGTTGCGGTTCGATTCCCGGCCCACATGACTCCAAGTGTCCTTGGGCAAGACACGGCACCACAAATTACTCCTGATGACAAGTTAGCACCTTGCATGACAGCTCTGCAGCCAATGGTGTGTATGGGTGAGTCAGACAAAGACAAAACACTATAAAAGTGTACCATTTAATCAAACAAAAGACAAAAAGAAAGAATAAGATAAGAATCTCTGTATATGGCACACAGTGAAGTCTATATTATTTCACATTTAATTTATTTATTCAAGTTGGTATCCTATCTTTCGGACAGATCCTTCAAGGTATCATGGAGCGGAGGTATTTCTGAAACTCAGCAACTCACAACTGGTGTTCCACAGGGGTCAGTTCTGGGTCCACTCCTCTTTTCTATCTACACTACATCTCTCGATCAGGTGATTGAGTCTCATGACTTTTCCTATCACTGTTATGCTGATAACACCCAGCTCTATTTGTCCTTTCAGCCTGACGATCCATCTGTCTCTGCACGCATCTCTTCTTGCCTGTCAGACATCTCGGTCTGGATGAAGGAGCGCCATCATCAGCTTAACCTGGGAAAATCTGAGCTTCTCTTCATCCCAGCCTATCCCTCAATCAACCAGAACTTCACTGTACAGCTCAGTTCACTTACACTCATGCCAACCAGGATGGCCAGGAACCTTGGGGTGATTCTTGATGACAGCTTGACCTTTACAGACCACATCTCAGCAACTGCAAGGTCCTGTAGGTTCATCCTGTACAACATCAAGAAAATCCAACCATACCTCACCAAACAGTCTACACAGATACTAGTCCAGGCTCTTGTCATCTCTAAACTGGACTACTACAACTCACTGCTTTCAGGCCTCCCAATCAGCTCCATCAAACCCCTTCAGATGATTCAGAATGCTGCAGTGTGCCTCGTCTTCAATCAGCCCAAGTCAACCCATGTCACACCCCTCTTCATCTCCCTACATTGGCTTCCTGTAGCTGCCCGCATCAAGTTCAAGGCCTTGATGCTCACCTACAAGACCTTGTCAGGAACAGCACCTTCCTACCTCAACTCTCTCCTGAAGGCTTACGTTCCCTCGACTAGCGACCGACGTTTAGTAGTTCCCACTCAGTGTGGCGTAAGGTCCCTTTCCAGAACCTTCACGCTTACCGTTCCCCAGTGGTGGGATGCACTTCCGATCTCAATCCGGACTGCAGAATCTCTCACTATCTTCAAAAAACAGCTAAAGACCCGCCTCTTCCGTGAACACCTAACCAACTCCTAGAGAGAAAAAAAACAAAAACACCCCACACACAACGCACTTACACCTCGACTCTGTGCACTTTGCTACCTCTGGTATTCAATTAATGGATCTTGTATAGTAGCACGACTTGTATTGTTCCCTTCTTGATATATCGCTTTGCTTATTTGTAAGTCACTTTGGATAAAAGCGTCTGCTAAGTGAATAAATGTAAATGTAAACGTAAGTTCTGTAGTATTTCTTACTTGAATACTACAGGTAGACCTACCTGAGAAAACATTTTGTTATCATGAAATAAGACTGCAGTCATATCGCCCACCACTAAACATTAGCATTCGGTGATTCCAGTCTTGAATTTCACGTAAATTGTACATTTTTAAATGGCGCACTTATATAGTGCTTTCATCCAAAGCGCTTTATACTGTATGTCATTCACCCATTCACAAACACACACACACACACACACACACACACACCATTGGTAACAGAGCTGCCATGCAAGGCGCTAACTTGCCATCAGGAGCAACCCGGGGTTCAGTGTGTTGCCCAAGGACACTTCGGTATGTGGAGTAATGTGGGTCAGAAATCGAAATGGCAACCCTACAATTATTGGACAACAAGCTCTACCACCGTAAATTTTTTAATTTACTTCTTAATGTACTAAATATCATAAACCCTGCTGATACGATTCGGAACCCCAATAATGTTACGAACTATCGGTTGTAATTGCTAGTTCTGATTATTGGAGGGGGTTACTTTCCCCTCAATCTCCCCCAGAGACTATGCCTCTGGTTCCAGTGAAGTTCCAGGAAATCTATTTGGCTGAGTACCAAGTAGTGGATAAGGGTGCTCTCATCTGTAAAAAATAATTTTTAAAGAAAAGAAGTACATGAAACATTGTAAACCATCAGCCTGCTGTGTAGCTCTCTGTCTGTATTTAATCTCGAAGACTTATTTATTTATTTAATTACTTATTTGTTTTTTTTGGGTGGTAAAAAGGTCCTCAAGTGCAGTAGAAAGCAGGTGTGGCCAATGTACATGGCTACAAAACTGAGTGCAAAAATGGAGTGATGACCTGCTTTAAAGCTGCCTTTATGGGTTTGGAGGACTATTCCAGAAGCACAGTCCATTAGGAATTCTTGTTTATCATGGCACCCATCATTACATTCTACAAAAAAAAAAAAAAAAAAAAACCATCTGAGGTCCTTTTGATCCATAGCTTTGTCTTTGAAATTGGCAACCTTCTTTGGTCATGCTGTTCATGCTGTTCACTATTTCCCCCTTATGAACGTACTTGTAATGGAAATCTGTGCAGTGTTTTGGCTCTTTGTAAAATTTCTTGGTTACCACCACTGAAGAACATGTTGTTTCTGGAACTAGAAAAGTAGATAGTTGGACGGGTGGATGGTATGATGAGGATGAATAAGAGGAAAGTGGGTGAAAGCAGGTTTGTCTTGTTGTTCTGTCTTATGGTGGAGTGTTTGTGAGAAAAAGCTTTTAGAGATGATGTTCCAAAATCCATAGTGTATATGCCCCCCCCTCCCTCTCTCTCTCTCTCTCTCTCTGACACATACACACACAAAGTAAACCATTGACATGTTTTAGTGACGTTTGGTGGCTGGCTTAGTGATCACATATGTTCTTTTAACGCGCTTTGCTCAGCTACTAAAATTCCCACCTGCCTACCTTTTCTTATAGTGCGAAGTATTCGTCGGATCACTGCTATGAAGAGGAAGGCCAGAAAGACAGACTTGCAGTTGAAGTGTTTTGGATCAAACAGAGCCTACACTTGGGCCATATTCAGCATCTTAGCTTCATATATATTGACTAGAGCTCCCAGTGCACACATTTTTCAAAGGCCAATTTCTGAATATGTGCACTGAGTCCTTTTTTGTGACAAGTAATCAAAGCAGAGGATTACTTAAACAATTTACTGCTTAAGGGTTATATAAAGGACCAAGCAGGAAAAATCCTTCTCCTATCTCAAAGGAGTAGATGTTATTGGAATTTTGAGAGCCGACAAATCAATCGGTTTAGACTTTATAGGTGTTCAGCAAGGTTTCCTGTGGAATTCGCAATGTTAGCACATCTAGAGGGAACTGTACACTACATGTACACTTTGCGTGTATGTTTAACACTTGCCTTTGTCCTGTATGATATTATAACATGACATATAGTTGATCAGGCTTTTGTTCCCACTTGCAGAGACCTTGATCAGAATGGATAACACCCTTCCCCCCTCCCCCTTTCCCCTTCTCTTTCTACCTGGCTTCTCTTTCTTTCCTGAACTACAGAGTCAGCACAGACAAGGCCACTAGAGTAGACTGGATCAATTTGCTGCACTTTAGTCTATTATTAAAAGCTAGCCATGGGGAGGGTGAGCTGATGTTTAAGAGAGAGAGAGAGAGAGAGAGAGAGAGAGAGAAAAGTGAGAAGGGAGGAGTGGAGGCTCTTTAAAGGCATTAAGTGACAGAGTCTCATTATGACAGGCTCCAGTGCCTGCTTCATTGGCTAGATAAAGCGCCCCAATAGTGAATTTACTTTCCCAGTTGTGTTATTTCAATGTAAGATGACTGGGTCTTGGCAGTGTAAACAGGGCGTCTATAATAAACCTGGACAGTATGTGTGATAGAGACAATTGCGTGAAGTATGAAAAGCACTTCATCACTGCCACATTTGAGCAGAATTCAATTTCAGACACTGTCTGCACCTACTCTTATCTGCTTCTCGCAGCAACCAGCCACATGCCTGATAGTGAAAGCAATACATACATACATACATACATATATATATGTGTGTGTGTGTGTGTGTGTGTGTGTGTGTGTGTGTGTGTGTGTGAGAGAGAGAGAGAGAGAGAGAGGCTAGAAAAGAAAACATGAGAATTACATGGAGTTGGAAAAGGAGGAGCAATCGTGCAGCGGTGCTGTGGGATCTACGGTGTGTTCTCTGCAGCCTGTCAGAGCTGCATGATGGATCACCGTGTTTGCTCCAGGCCCCTGTCACCTTCCCTATTGCATATTTACAGTCCTGCCACTCACACGCCATCTGCTTCAAATGCCAGGTTGTCCAGCCATAAACAGGGTACTAACACGGACCCCTAAATCCTCCTTGAAGGAAAGTCTGTCAGTGTTTACCCGTATCTGTAAACCACAGTGTTTGCGAACAGTGTCCATATTGATTGATGTGCACACATATGTGGTTAGCGGGTAATGATTTTCTGGCTGAATCTGCAGTTTCTGAAATTGAACACCCTTTTCACACTTTCTCTAGACACTCTGGAGTCCAGGCATGGCAATCATTTCTGATATATGCCTGTATATTCATAACATTCTGCTATGAATATTAAAACACACACATAAAAGTTGTAAGACAAGATTATGTAGAAAGCCTTAAAAGAAACTGAGCAAAAGCACAAAGAAATTAGCAGTGACCCAGAATGAAATCAACTTCTGATCCATGTACTGTAAGAGATGAGGCCGCAGAGAGAAAGTGGAACAACTTTGCATTTCTCAGCTTTGAATATATCGCCTTCAGCCCAGTCTGTGATTATTAATCTTATTCATCTCAGCTTGTCATGCGCTTTCCCCTTGCTGTCTCCTTTCTGGGTTAGAGTGACTTTAATGCTGATGGAGGAACTAAAAATGAAGTAGCACATAGCAACATATTAGAACAGCAGCTGTACTTCTGAATCCCAATAAAGCATGATGAAACATGTATGATCAAATGTACTTAAAATGATAGGAATATCTGACAATTTAGACTTTGTGCCCCCCCCCCCCGAAA